GGGAAGCGGAGAGGGGGGAAAGGGGGCCGATCGAGCAGGGGCGCGACGGTCGGAATCGAGATAGGCGAGCACGGGCGAGCATTAGCCGCAAGTTGGCGCCCCCCACCAAGCTGCATCACCCCCCCCCTCCCCACCAACCACCACGTGCATACAATTATCGGTCAAGCACAGCGAAAGGGGTGAAGAAAAAATAAAAAGAAGGGGCGAACCGTCCCGGCCGGAAGCAAGCGGGGAGCGGGGCGGGTCAAACGAAATGGAAAAACGAACACGCCAAACGGTGTTTTTTTAGCCGTTTTTTAAAACAAATAATATTAACGAAGGAATGGTGCAAAACCGGAGGTGTAAGGGGGTGACTTCACATTTTACAACCCAAACCCCACCAGCTAACGCATCGCGTAATTAAACAGGATGGTCGAGAGAGCGACGGAACGTCTTCCACCTTATTCACTATCACTTTCCCAAGAAAAAAAGTGGGATTTTGTTTTGGAATGCGAAAGAAAAAAAAGAAAGAATACTTAGGAATTTGTGTGGAATTTTCGCCCCTTCCGCACAGCACACTGGCTGGCATAACGTTGTTGTAAAAGATGCGCAGGGAACCCACACCCTCTTGTCTCTCTCATTTTTAAAATGTTTTCCCGCTTGGTAAGCGACTTTAATTCGCCCACCAGGGATGAGGAAGGATGGGTATGTTCTCTTACCAATTGCATCCTTTCGCGTCGAGTAATTGTGTTAGAATAAAAAAGAACAGCATTACAAATTACAGAGAGGAAGAACTCCACTCACGCATGCCATAAGCACGCATGCTCAAGCAGTTGCGTCCATTTCGCGCATAGATTTCATGGACGGGGATGCTGGGTGCCCAACCGCATATCGGTTAGAGAGAACGTGAGGAGAGGAGAGGAGAGGAGAGGAGAGGAGAGGAGAGGGAGGAGAGAGACAGACGTTGGAGGGACAGAGAGCAGATGCTCTAAGTACGATCGCAGAGCATCAACCGGGCTCTCACCCTCTCCCTACCCACACTCCTCCTCTCACCCACAACCCACCCCCCGCCGTTCTCTTACACCTACACTTTTTTTCTTCCTACCTTTCTTCGGCGTTTTTTTTTTTTTTTTTTTTTTTTTTTTTGTAGCCGATTTAGTTTCACGAGATCCACCGACCCGCTCTGCGACCACCGCCCGCGTATCGCCTTTCATTTAATCTTCTCTTTTTCTTCCGCGCGCTCTAGCTCCCCCCTTTTTTTGTTTGCCTCTGCGTGTTTGTTTGGTTCTTGTGTTTTTTTTTTTTTAAGGCTGTCAGGGAGGCGACCACCACCACCACCACCACCGGTAGAGAGGGTCGTAAGGGATGCTAAAGGCGTCAGAAAATGTTCCCCACGCGCGACGGGCGGGCGGGAA